ACCTTCAATTGGCGTTATTGAGAAACATCTCAGTCCTTTTACCTAGAATAATCAACTTGGTTTCTATGGGATCACACAATGGTCAATCTAAGAATTGCATTTTGATGTAAACTAGTTTTCTGAGGACTTCTGCAACCAAGGGGACATTTTCCCCACCCAATATGATTTGACTAAACTTTTTTTTTAAGCTAAGGAGTACGGGGTAACTTTTACAAAATGTTTGCATAGCTTTGACATAAATCTTTGTGGCTTTACATTTATATTTTGGATCTATTCTGAAATAAACCTGTGCAACCGACATTATAAAGAAACAACTTTTGCTACTTCTGAATGACTCCAGTCCCATATAACAAAGCCTTTTTGCTGTCACTGTGACCTAGAAGTTCAGCCTGGCATTTGCAGATTTCCAGAAGAATGTCCATGTTAGTTTGTAGCAGCAAACACATAAAAGAACGGTGGCTGGCCCCTTAGAGACTGATTAGGGCAGGAGACTCCTCCTCATGTATCACCACTCACCTGTGTTAAATATTCTGCAAACCAAATTAGAATTTGGATTAGGTTGGTACAATCCAAGGCAGACCGTGCAACTTATGAAAGTCCCTCTAATGGTGTTCTAAAAGCTGGGGAAGGACAGCGTGCAGAATGGCATTAATTGACATTATTGTATCACTCTTTGGAGCGACATGGATCTCCCGGCTCGGCTTGGTTTTACTGGCACGTTAATCTATTAATTTATTGTTAAATTTTATTGATGATGTACAATGTTTTAAAATGATTTTATTGTAAGTTGTAGTTTTTATGGTATTTATTTTGTTAGCATCCTCTGATGCTCATGTGAGGCAGTGTTGAGTCTCCCTTATGGGGAGAAGGGCGGGATATAAATATATGAAATAAATAAATAAATAAATAAATAAATAAATAAATAAACCTTGGTCCTTATTGAAGGTTGTGACAAATCAATACGGCATTATGATTGAGGCCTTCAGAAAAGAAACTGCTTTAGTTTGCTTTTAGTGGTAATTCAACACAGTGTCCTCAGAAACTGTGGCACGGCAGCAGAGAGTTCAGTCTAAAACTTGGCTATGTTTTATGTCTGGATATGAATGGCAACATTTAGTACAGACATAGTATGGCAACATCTAGTACAGACATAGAGCACAAATGCCTATGGACAAGAATGCAGAATTTGCAATCCCCAGTCTACTCCTCTTTCTTTTGTGTGTAAATACTTTCTGTATATATTTCAGATTTCAATATTAATGTCAAAATACGTAGTATTGTTTTACATAGGATTTATGCTATGTAACATGCATGTTTGTGCATGTATGTGTATGGATAATTTAGGCTGAAATCCCCATGGTGCCATGTAATCTTCCATCATACTGATGTTAGGCATTTTTAGACCGTGTACAGCAGTATTAGGGGAGGATGTTTGGAAGCCAAAACCATCTCTGTCAGAAGAGAACCACAGAGTTCAATGGGACTACAGAATCCATCTAGCCAAGGATCCACAAACTTTTAAAGCCAAGGACCAGTTCACGGTCCCTCAGACTGTTGGGGGGGCCAGACTCTGGTTTGAAAAAAACACTAACAAATTCCTATGCACCCGGCACATATATTTGTAGTGCAAAAAAGTGAAAAAACAATACAATATTTAAAATAAAGAACAATATTAACCAACATAAACTTATGAATATTGCAATGAGAAGTGTGGGCCTGCTTTTGGCTGGTGAGATAGTCAAGCTAATTAGGATTGTTAAGTAATTTCAGACTTAGGGTAACCTAATATAAGACCTATCACTAAGAAAATCAATATCTTTCAACATAACCCTTTTGCAAACAAAGAAGGAAGCGGAGAGGGTGATAATATGAACTTTGAATTACATAATGTTAGATTATATCATTTAGTTACCCTGAGCTGACCCAAAGCAAAACTGAAAACTATTCATTATATTTCAGTTGCATTTCAGAGAAAATGTGTGCCAGTTGAGTGTAATAGGCTTAATGCAATATTCTGTGCTTCACAGAATCATCCAAGTGTTGTGTTATACATTTTTAATTACTGCAATTATGTTTATAGTTCCCTGTTAAGTCCCACTGAACGATGAAAATATGCCCTGGAATTGTACAACAACCTCTATTCAGTAACATTCTCAATGACCAAAATGTCAAGAAGGTATACTGCTACTGATATTTTTATATAACTCAAACATATTTTAGGGCACTACAAAAACTGCCCAAAGAAAGCAATCCTTAGTCAAGTTGCTGGTATCTTTTCCAACAGTATAATACAAGATATATCACATTTTGAAGCCTATATGTATTGTAATAACTAACAGCTAAAGTACTGGGTTTAGTGGCATCAGATTAAGGGATAAAATTGACTATAATCATGGAGTGAGAGGCAGTGTCTCAGCAGGGAGCTGCCACTATCAGACAGAAGTCAAGGATATGAAGAAGGAAACATTGAGGGATGATATCAGCCCACACTCCTGGGGAG